GAGGATTTGGATTTCTTCGTCTTCTTTAATATCCATAACCACAAAATCAGTTGGAATATATAGTTGACCGATCTTAACTGGTATGTCTTCAAGTATACCTATAGGATACTTAATTGATTTATCAGCCAGCTGGAGAGACATTTTAGTCAGCTGCAATTCACCTAAGTTTAACCTTCTACAAACTGCTAAAGGCATAAGGCTGACGCTAGCTCCTAGATCTAAGAAGGCTTTGTCAATAGTATGATTTCCTAAGATACAAGGAATGGAAAAACTTCTTGGATCCTTTTCTTTCTTGGCAAGTTTATTTTCTGAAATAAAATTGCATTCGATAGGTTTGGGATCATCAAGTCTATGCTTGTTGGTCAGGATGTCTTTTAGGAATTTAGCATAAGATGGTATCTGAGTGATGGCTTCGGTGAAAGGAATCTCTACATGGAGTTTTTCTATAACTTTAACGAATCTCTGGTATTGATTGTCAAGTTTGGTTTGTTTAAGTCTTTGCGGAAATGGGACTGGGGGTTTGTACGGGGGTGGTGATTTATTAGTTTTATCTTTTAATTCTGGTTCTTTTTTCTTTTTGGGTTCCTCCACTTGGTCTGTAGGCAAAACATTTGTCTTAGGTTGTGAAGGTGTACTCATGGCTGGATTCTTGGGTCCATCGTAAGTAGTCCCACTTTGTAAGGAAATGGCATTAGCTTGCCCTTTAGGATTTTGTTGAGGTTGTCCAGGGAATTTTCCTCCAGGTATAGTTTGTGGGGCTTGTGTTTGGGTTGTCTACGAGATCTGGGTTTCAAGCATCTTGTTATGCGTCATTATCTTATCAACCTTAGTTCCTAATTGCGTGATTAGTTCATTTACGTGAATATTCTGATTTAGGAACTCTTTGTTTTGCTGGGTTTGAGCTGAAATGAAATTTTCCATGATTTTCTCAAGGTTTAGTTTGGGTGCCACAACTTGCATAGGTTGATTTGGTTTTTGGGCTTGGAAACCTGTAGGTCTCGGAGGTACAGAATTTTGTATTGGGCTATTGTTTTTATAAGAAAAGTTTGGGTGATTCCTCCATCTGGGGTTGTAAGTGTTTGAAAATGGATTTCCTTGGGTGTAGTTTACTTGGTCTGAGCAAGGCTCATTCAACAAGTTACATTCTGCAGGTTGATGTCCTTGGGTCCCACAGAGTTCGCATTTTGAAGCTATTGCGGCTACAGTATTAGGGTTTTGAGACATGTTTTGAACTTTTAAGGCAAGAGCGTCCATTTTAACTTGCATCATGTCTAGAGAACTTATCTCATGTTTTCCTCCTCGGGTCTCTTTTTTCTCTACTGTAGCTCGTTCTGTTCCCCATTGGTAATGGTTTTGGGCCATGTCCTCAATGAGATCGTGGGCTTCTAGGTAAGGTTTATTCATCAATGCGCCACCAGCGGCAGCATCGATAGACATCTTTGTGTTGTAATGGAGTCCATTATAGAAGGTGTGGATGATTATCTATTGTTCTAGGCCATGGTGTGGACAGGCTCTTAACAGGTCCTTATATCTCTCCTATGCTTAAAAAAGTGATTCTCCCAGGTTTTGGTTAAATTTAGTGATTTGGTTTCTAAGGACAGCAGTTTTGCTGGGCGGAAAATATCTTGCGAGAAATACTCTCTTAAGGTCTTCCCAGGTTGTTATTGAATTGGGTGGAAGGGAATCCAACCAATCTCGTGCTTTATCTCTGAGGGAAAAAGGGAATAATCTTAGTCGTATTGCCTCAGGCGAAGCACCATTGCATTTTAAAGTGTCTGCTAATTGTATAAAAGTTTTTAAGTGTTGATTCGGGTTCTCAGTAGCGAGACCATCGAATTGGTTTTGTTGCACCAATTATAGCAATGAGGGTTTTAGCTCGAAATTATTTGTGGTTATAACTGGGTTTACGATAATTGAACTAGGTTTCTCATCTGACGGTTGGGCAAATTCCTTAAGGGGTCTTTGGTTACGATTCTCGGCCATAGTTTTTCTAATTCTACGGAGAAAATGGATGTAACGTTCAGGTTCCGCTAAAGGATTGAATAAGGTTCCGGTGTTGCGAGACCTTCGCATCAACCGGACTGTAAAACTTAGTATAGACAGTGCGACTATAGGGTGCGAAATTTGACGAAATTGCTCCCCGGCAACGGCGCCAAAAACTTGATGCGGATTATTCGCAAGTGTACGAATCGCGTCAGAGTAATATAAAAGATTATCGATCCACAGAGACCAATCGTCAATCTATCGTTTCCTATTGTTACGGTGTTTAGCTAAGTCAATATTAAATAGGGAATTGAGCATGCAAGAAAGTAAAGTGCGGTGAAATAAACTTCAGATATAGAAGCAGGGCCGAATGTAATTCACATAGTCAGATGATATTCGCAATGCTTCGGAATAGAACTACTTATAGGGCAATATTTTCTACTAAAGAAAAGAACTAATTTAACATGAATTGTCGCTTTCGCGTAATCAGAACCGAGTTTACTCTCTAATTAGACCTTCTTATTGTCGCTTATAAAAAGACGAGCATTGCGTTAAAGTAATAAACCTATTTTTAAGAAATAAAGACTTGACCAAGTTGAAAAGTATTTTGATCTGGAATTTCTAATAAAAAGGGGACCTAACTTTAATCCTATAAATGCGTCCAAAAATAGTTTCAAAATTGATTTCTTTGATAATAAAAATCCCTAACTAAGTGGACAAAGCGCTTTCGCTTCCTTTGACCAGTTAGAACTAACCGAGTTTAATAATGGGTTGGACGGTTTTCGATCTTACCCAACAATAAAGTACAGAAAACTCGTATTAAAAACCAAAATAGCCCATAAGATTTTCTATTGACACATTATTTGGATTATCGATCTAACTAGATTCTTTACATTGTAGCCCAGTAAGGTTCAGCCTGACATGGGAATGTAAACAGACATGTTAAAATAAATCATGCGAGAAAGTAAATAATTTAAAGTGCGGTGCGGGAAATAGACAAAGTAAAAGCAGGTGCGGAAAATAAACAAAGTAAAGCAGGTGCGGAAAATAAACAAAGTAAAGCAGGTGCGGGAAATAAACAAAGTAAAAGCAGGTGCGGAAAATAAACAAAGTAAAAGAAGGTGCGGGAAATAAACAAAGTAAAAGCAGTGCGGAATATATAAATAGAAACCTGCTCCAAACGGGAAGGTTTTAAATTTGGTACAAACTGGAAGTAAAATACGACTGGAAATAAACAGCAGTTGAAAACAAATGTGGCAAGATAAACTTCTTTCGAAGTGCTCCAAACTCGATTACAGACTCAATCTACGAACTCGATCACAGACTCAATCAACAGTGCAATAATTCCCCGATGTGAAGAATTATCGCTTTATAATGATGAAATTATATGGCTTAAGTTCGCAAATACGGTTGGATCAAGTTTGAAACTAAGCTTGGGTGATTTGAAATGAAATCAGGAACTTCTATTTATAGAGGATGAAGAATGCAGGAAATCACAGGAATGCCCCCCAACTCCTTTTGGGGTGAAAATATCGTCGAAAGGTGGCGCCCGCCATGAGTGTAGATGAAAGGAAGTGGGGAACGTGGCAGTTGAGGTCAGCATGAGGTAGTCCACGTCATGGCCTACCCTATGGCTGGCGCCATGGTGGACGCCATGAGTGCAAATTTGACCTAAACTCCTATTTTTCAGCATGTTTTTCTTTATTTCTTCAGGGGAGCTCTGGATAATTGAAATACCTGAAAAGGAAACAAAAGATAGGCAGAATACGAAAAAACAATAATAAAAAACCTAAATAACATGTGAAATCAGAGTAAAAAACAAGTGTAAAGTAAGTGTTATTACATTTTATAAAGATTCTCTAAAAGTCAAAATTGGCCATTGTCACTGCTATAACTTAGGGAGATTTTATCTGGGATCCCTCGTAGCTTCTCGCTATCTTTGAATCTGAGAATAGGCCTTTCTGGATTTCCTTCATAGGTTGATTCTTCATTTTATTGATTTCCTTAAGCTCTACAATCTTTCTTATAATCGTCCCCTAAGACAGAGTATTTGGACAGGGAAAGTCTTTAGTCATGAATTTGAGGAAGTTGTGTCCTCCTATCATATAAGTTATAAATTGGAACTTCCCATTCAATGTTCTTCTTCTTCTTCGTCACTATTATCCCTTCCCCCTAGGCCTTCGTCACAACCTCGATTACCCTATTTGGAGATGTTTTCTCTCGATGGAGAGATCTTTTCTTTCACCTCTCATTTTAGATTTTTGGATAAGCCTCTCTTGTTCTCATGTCATCCTCCTACGCGTACCGACTTAGCCTTCCCTTTTTACGAGCTCTTGAATGGCATCCTTCAAGTGAATGCATTCATATGTGTTATGGCCATAGCTCTTGTGAAAAGATGGTATCTTATCTTTTCGATCCTAACCAACTCCTTGATGGGGTGGAGGTTTCTCACCCCGACTTATTTGAATTTGGTATTCATGCATCTTGTAAAATATTTTCCCCAACGTATTAAGCAGTATGTAGGATGAAAATATGACTTTGGGGCATCGTTGGGGCTCCCTGTCTCTATCGTCATGATGCTATTTTAAGCATTTGTCCACTGATTGTTTGTTCGTCGAGTTCTCCTTCCCATATTCCTTGCCAAATCTTCTATTAGGAGCTTTCTTCATAATGTATATACGATCCCTAGTGAGTAGGTCACTCATACTTTCAGAGCCTTCCAATCATAACTTCTCACAAAAGATGCATTTTTTCATCATCCTTTTTTCAAAGATCCAACACCTTAACTTATCGTTAGATCTTCCCACTTCAATCGCTACCTTGGTGAATCGGACAATATATTCCCATGGGGTTTCTTTCTTCTTCTGCTAGATTCCATTGAGGACGACTATTGTCTAGGATTTTCTCTTTCGGGTTGTGAGCTCATCGTGAAGTTTATTATAGAGGGAGATATACACATTGGGTAAGGTTTTAAATCATGTCATAGTCGCTCCCCTGAGGATCAGGACAAACAATTTTCACTTTATTGCGCTCTTGGCGTGGAAATAGACAAGCAGAATGACCACATGTTCAATATGTTCATCTAGATCCCTAATCTTGCCATAGTTGTCGAGCTTTGGTGGATATTTGATGGATTTGGGGATCCTAATGTTAAAGATGTTCCTAGATAACATATTTCTTTTGTGACTAGGGGCATGAGCTTCGATATCCCGTCCATTTATTCCCTGAGAATGATTGAACGAAGATCTATGATGTTGTCGGCCTTTGAAGGGTGAGATTGTCACATTTGTCCTTGAAGTCATGAGGAGTGGAGTGATGTGTTCAGAAAGGAAGGCGTTTTGGCGTTTTGGTGATCTCGAGGCGTGGCTTTAAAATGTTGTTACTGCTTCGCACTCCGAATGAGCTCAAGGTAGAGCAACCTATTGATTCTCTTATATTTATAGGAATCTTTATGCTATGAGGTGCATATTATATTGTTGCACCAAGTTGTAAATGTTGGTTATCCTTTTATTCACTCTTTGCATCCCTAAATTGAAATGGAGTTGTTTGAGGCTTTGGAACATCTATGGTACAAAAATATGCGTTGCAGTTGAGGTTGTTTAGAGGTTTGACCTTGAAGTGATTGTAAGAAAGGTTGAAAGGATGGTAAGATATGGAAGGTGCCATGGACGACAGGTGGAAGGATTGGAGGTGGAGGAGATGGTACGGTTGACAAGGTTATAATAACCGCATCGACTTCCCTTGCAGGAGGAAGAGGGATCTCTTTCGCAGAAGTAAAGACAGACACAAAGGCTTGACATGCGGCGTTGGGGTTGAAATGCATAGCTATCCAAGCTTGCTTGGATATTACCATTTTCGATGAAAGGTTAATCAAGAGTTAAAATGGGATACGATGAAACGGTTGCATCAGTGCAACATGTAGGATTTTCAGAGGATTTTAGGGAAAATTCGTGAGAATCAACTCTTCACCCGCTTCGTCCGTTGCTAGTCTGACCCCTTCCTTTGATCCGAAGGGATTGCCCTTTGATTTGGTACGCTACTCTATTATGATATGAAAGTCTTCGCTTAGCGACGAGAATCACTAATCTCATATGGAACAAAAGATCAATGATGTAAATAGAAGGGATTCTTAGCGCAACATGTAGGATTTTCAGAGCATTTTAGGGAAAATTCGTGAGAATCAACTCTTCACCCGCTTCGTCCGTTGCTAGTCTGACCCCTTCCTTTGATCCGAAGGGATTGCCCTTTGATTTGGTTGATTTGGTACGCTACTCTATTATGATATGAAAGTCTTCGCTTAGCGACGAGAATCACTAATCTCATGTGAAACAAAAGATCAATGATGTAAATAGAAGGGATTCTTCTGGTGTGGTGGTGTGTGGTGGAGTAGTGTGTATTTGTAAGGTTAACACTTCAACGTTCAACTCAATTAACTCAGATAACAGTTATTTTGCTCTAGATTGAGTGAATGAATATTTGTTTATTACACTGGAACAATTAAGACCACTTCCACTGGGCCCGACACAAAATGCAGGTGATCGGCGGATAGTACAAAACAAGCAGGTAGAATACAGTGTGACACACCTTTTGGTGAGAGTCCACCTATTTGTGTTTTGTCTAGAGGGTTTCCTGACTAGTCAACACAAATTGAATCGGCCTTATTGAATCGTTGGATCGGCCCAAAACAATTTCTAATTTCTTCTAAACTATATTCAATACCACACCAATAATATGGAGGCTTGGGATTAAAGCTACAAGTGAAAGATGTTTCTGGTCGACTGAGAGATTTGAGCTTCGAGAAGGGCTCATCAAGGTGGCTGCAGATACAGTTGTTGGTCTTGGAAGATACAGTTGTTGCATTTTCAAATAACCAAAAGAAGTGTTTATCAGATATGGTGGTTATACATGCGGAGGAAGAAAAAAACTGTCCTTGCAGAAAACAGATTATCTAATTTGATTCTTTCAGGTTTATAAAATTATAAACCAGTTTCTAGAAAACAATTTGGGTTGTTTAATAAACACTTGTTTTGAAAATGGTTTTTCTTACATAGTTTGATTAACCACCTCATGCTAGAAGTAATTTGTAATGTGTTTGTAATGAGATGCAACCAGTTCCATCTTCAATCAGTGCTCTATTTTACGAGACTCATTCTTGAATAAGATGTATATTAGAATTCTATTCTATGATATAAAAAATAAAAAATAAAGAAGTAATTCAGTTATATTGGATTTCCATATCCGGTGTAAACTGTAGGACTAGAAATTTTGCCTTCCTACAAGAAAACAGAAACTTCAATTTGTACAATAACTTTTTTCAGACCCTAACTAACCAGAAAAACCCAAAAGCAACATCACAAGAAAGGGAAATTCCAACCAAAAGGCTTGAACGGGCAGACATGAAGATAAAGCATCTGACCGAGGAACCTCTCTTGATCCTTTAATTGGCATTAAGCATGTTCTCAGCCCTTTGGCCAAACATATCGATTTAAGATAGAGTAAAAAAGTAAACGGGCCTTGAACATGCACAATGATCAATGAATATGATATTTTGAATATGTAAGATCTTTACAAAACTAGAGATTTGGTTGGATATTTCTGCTCCGCATGTAAGCTAAAAATTGAGTAGGTAATTCAGCTAGAAGTGCTTGAACTACTGAAATTTCACCACCTGCAATAGGAAAAAGTTTACAGGAGATTGATAAGTTCAAGGCCATTTGAAGACGTCATAATTTGCAAACTGATTACCTACTTTGAACATCCCGAAATGGAACAAACTGGACTATATCACGTGAGGCAACACGCCCAGATGAACTTTCAAGCCTTTCCCCCTTGTCTGCATCCAAGATCTGTGACATTGAACAACAAAACTATATAAAAAGCCCTGAGGGAACATTACATACCTCCCATGCAAGTAAATGACTCATGCCAAACAGTTATAACTCAATAGTAAAGACTAAAGAGCATACACATTGGATTAAATTAATACCTCCATTTCTTTGAAATCGGCTCCTCCTACACCAACAATAAGGATTGATAATGGCAGGTCTGACGCTTTAACGAGTGCATCTTTTGTTTCTTGGAGATCTGTCACTACTCCATCCTAGGAGAGTACCAATTAAACATTAGAACCAGCAGTGGAAAATGCAAGGTGCTGCAATTTTTTTGGAAAGTTCTCGGGAGTTGGAATAGAATTTTTTTTGGGTCCGTAAAGCAAATATAGAGTGGTATGCCTTGGTCTAACATGGGTTAATTAACCATAGTTTTCATACATGTATTTACATAATCATTTAAGTTCCCTATTAAAATTTGAAGAACAATGATACTTCAAGTTTTAATATGGAATTTAAAACCAATTGTGAGATATGAAGAGTAGGTTTGAAATAGAAGTATAATTCCGAAGGATGAATATCATTATCTAAATTAAATGAGGGACTGTTTAGAAAAAGAACTTTAAATTCATTATATCTGAGGGAATCACCAATCCTCACTATCTGAGGAAGGGGTGATTTCTGGTTCTATGGAATAAGGGACGAAATAGAATAAATTTTCCATGGTTTTTCTTGCTAATAAGCAAAAAATATAAAATGTTCATGCCGTGGAATTGACTCAATTGAGCACGAAATGGAATTACCATTCCACATACTAAACTTAATTATACTGAAAACACCATATTCTAATTCTTACTGTGATTATCAACAGGATAAAGTACTTTCTTCCACCATTTGCTGCAGACTGGCTGGCAATAAGTGCAGCATTATTTATGACAGGTCCAAAAAGTGTTGGTCCTGCAAGAGAAACGTTAAGCAGAGCACTTGTGTATGCCATCATAATTCCTTGAATACCATCCACCTGCAAAGACCGAATCTTGTAATGGTTAAACTATTTAAATATAAATATAGCAACAAAGGCAAGATCAGATTTAGTATTTTCACCTCACAGTAATTATTGCTTCCGTTCAAGTTGAAACAATGGGAGACCGGACCATCAATTGGCCGTGCTCCAAATCCCCACGTAGGAAATCGTTTGTCTGCATCATAAAACTGTAACACCTCTCCAACCTCAATTATTGCCTAAAAATATTCGCAGAACATGGATCAGTAACAAATAAAGTAGTGGAAATTCAAACCAAAAATCATTTCTTACTCTCTGGTATGAATTTGGCCGTCCTGAAGGATCAATATAATGCAAAGAATCTGGAAGGCGTGAATTGCCATTTGAAGCTGGTAAACAAGACGAGGTTAGCCCATAAAAATGTAGAGCATCCTTGTCATCCAATACATAACCAGCATGACAGATTAAAGTGTAAACCATGTGATATTATGTTTATATCATTCTATAATCCTAAGAGTTGGGGTTGGGGAAGAAAGAAAGAAATGAAGGATTAAGGAGGGAGAGGATCAACCTCAAATCAGCAGTCAACAGGGGCAATAGTGGCCTCGGGAATAGCATTTTGGGGAACCCACAAATGTCCCTTAAGGAGCCTTACTCCACCCTGTCATGCACACTAGTGCAAACTGGAAACTAAGCACTAGTGAGGACTGAGAAGGAAGGATGAACTTTTAATTATTAAGGACTAGCTCACCAATAAATTGGAGGGTGGGGAAGCTAAATAATAGTAAATTACTGGGTTAAATATGTTTTCAGTCCCTATAAATCACGAGTTTTCAAGTTTAATACCTAAAAGTAAAATTTTAGTCATCTATAATATTGCAACTTTAAGAATAGTTCTTATTTTGAAAACTTTTTACAAAAAATGAGTACTTAGTCCTCAAAATAGTGCCTATAAAAGGAAAATAGAGACTAAAAAGGAATAATTTATTTTATGGACTAAACCTCAAAACTCTTGACTTTGTAGGGATTAAAAATACATTTTAGTCTAAATTATATTGAAATTAACATTTCCAGACATAATTGGTATCCCCTTTGATAAAAAAAATACAGATACCACACTTTTTGTCTTTGAGTTCCAAAAAGTGTTGGTCCTGCAAGAGAAACGTTAAGCAGAGCACTTGTGTATGCCATTAAAAGAATAACTTTGTAAATCCAATCCTACAACGCAAGGTTATTGGAAAAACTTCAAAAAAAAAGTCGTAATATCTAAAATTAACTATGAAAGGTCAAAGAGCAACAATCCTGTATGTGCCACACTTCCAAAAAGTTAAATAACTGATTCCTTCTCATGCAAGTTTTCCAAGAAATAACAAAGTCAACAAAATTAGCTAGCTAAGAATCATAACGATTTTTTTTAGAAAAGCAAGAACAATATTGAAAAACACTAGAACTTCTTACGGTTAAATTATAGTGGTCGGACTGAATATTCTACAACGATTTATGTGTAAGTGATTAAAATAACTTAATTTTACAAACAAGTACTCTAAACTTAACATTCATAGAATCCAAAACCGAGATGGGAACAATATATACAATTTTCAATAACTAATAACAGATCCTAAGATCCAAATAACTAAAAAAAAACAATTTCTATGCGATAATCATAAATATTATTATCTCATTTCCATCACTTGTGATCATTATAAACAAAAGACTGATGAAAATATCTTAGTATTACAACCCAGAAGATAATTAAGTACGACAAGCTTAAGGATATATGGAGTACCTGTAAAATCAACTGCCAGCATGAAGTTCAATTCAAATCCCCCAGTCAGGTAATCCAGGAAAGTATATTGGATGCTTTCAGAAAATTTATCCACAAATAGCCGACTCTTCAAAACCTTTTGTTGAAATATAATATATTATTTCATTATTCTCTACACCTTTATCATAGTTAAATATGATTTTAGGGAAAAACAGAGGAATTAATGATTGAAATTAACATTTAATTTAATAAAACCT